TTTGTGCAACATTTTGTGCAAATAAGTCAGAAGCTTAAAAATTTGTACCTGGAAGCAAATACAGGAATTATGTAATCGAGAGGAAAGATGCTGTGGCTAGGACCTGAAAGGTTTAGTGACCAGCGACTGGCCCAAGGTTGACATCATAGGTGGAGGGGCAGAGGTGGGACCAGAGGCTTCTGTATATTAGTGAGGGCCAGAGTAGGGTTCTAATAATCTGCTTCCCACACATAGATTTAATGTGAATTATTTCCTTGTGTTATTAAATGCCTTTCTTAAAAATAGATTTTTTTCATGACTATGGTATATTGTATCCATTATATGGATAGAGCATAATTTGTTTAGAAAGTTCTGATTATTACATATTTAGGATGTTTTCATCTTCCCGCCTGTTAAAACAACAAAAATCAACCGAATAAATGTGAAGATCTGATTGGCTTTATTAAGTGATTCATGAATGGGGCCGCATCCCATCCAGCAACTAAAATGGCGCTCCAAGGGTTGTACAAAATGGAAGGTTTTTATAGAAAAAAATGTGGGAGCGGGGTAGAGTGGGGAAAGGAAACTATTAGTGAAAGAAAAGAAAAGATTAATTTGGGACATGGACTTTTTTTGTTTTTCGTTTTTTTTGAGGGGAAGAGAATGAGAAGGGTTTTTTTTGTTACTGTTTGTGTATCATGCAGATTGCCTCTTCTTTCTATGGGGGGAGGGGATGAAGAGGGCATACGTGACAGATTACCTCCTTGGTGTTGACCAGAAAATTTCACACTGGTTGATTAGCATTATGTTTCTGGGAGAGGTTGAAACAGCAATTAACTCAGGTATTAAATCTAGGTTTCTATGGGGGGGGATGGAGAGGGCCCACGTGACAGATTGCCTCATTTGGCGGCCTAAAATGGTTTATTTAAATCAAAGTTATTTATTTATATAAAGGAGCTTGTAAGATTTTTAAGCCCTTGGCACCTTATTGAGGCAAATATTTTCCTTATCCCTCCTCAGTTGCCTCTGTGAAGGTGGGAATATAGAGTAGTGCTTAATGGAAATTATTTTTTTCTTCAGGGTATAAATCTCAGCGGGGGTCAGAAGCAACGGATCAGCCTGGCCAGAGCTACCTATCAAAATTCAGACATCTATATTCTGGATGACCCCCTGTCAGCTGTGGATGCACATGTGGGAAAACATATTTTCAATAAGGTCTTGGGTCCGGATGGCCTATTGAAAGGCAAGGTGAGAAATAATTTAAAGTGACAAAGACATGAGGTGTGAGTGGGAGGTAGGAGGGCACACATCTCCTAGGACAGCTGCTGTCCCAAAGCAGATTTCCTAATTTACCTGCTGCGGAGAAACAGTGTCAGGATGGTCTCCCAGGAGATGACCCCATGAATGCTCCCACCTTGAGGTCATGGCTTGTGCTGGTACTGACTAATTTGGGCCTTACTCTGTGGCTCAGACATTGAGACTTTTAGGGAAATTGATTATGACAAAAAGTATTTTGAGACCTGCGGTATAATAAGAAATACGTTTGGTCTTTGTCTTCAGTTCCTGGCACAGAGCTCCTTCTAACCCTTGGAATTCCCTGAGTGATACTAAGAGTATCTTTTGTTATTCATAATGAGCCCCTTTAGATCATACTGGAGTCTATGCTAATGAGCGACTTAGAGGGGAACCCCTAGAGAGACTCAGGATGAGGCTGTTGATGAGAAAAACCAAGTGATGGGAGGGTTGGAAGTTTTAGCCCCACCCTGGTGTCTGCGGAGGGGAGGAGGGCCTGGAGTTGAGCTATAAAAACTCTTGAACAATGGGATTCAGAGAGATTCTGGGTTGGTGAACACATTAAGGTGCTGGGAGGGTGGGACACCTGGTGAGAACATGGAAATGCCACATGCACACTCCACACCCCCACACCTTGCCTGCTGCATCTCTTCCACTTGACTGTTTTTGAGTTGCATCCTTTAAATAAACTGATAAAAGCAAGTAAAGTGTTTTCCTGAGATCTATGAGCCATTTTAGCAAATTAGTGAACCTGAAGAGGGGGTCTGTGGGACTTCCCGACTTATAGCTAGTTGGTCAGAAGTATGGGTGGAGTCCCTGTTTCAGTAGTCAATGTGCTTCATCAATAGACAGGGATACAAGGAATGTCGAGTCTTCCACATGAAGGAGGGCCTGGGGGCACATACAGAGTTTTTTGCCCCACAGTGTGGCTAACATGCTGAAAGAATCTGGCAGTTCTTGTTAGCTCAGTTGGTTAGCTGGTTAAGAAAGGGGCCGTTAGTTAGCTAGTTATTTAATTAGTTATGTATGCATCCGTTACATTGACAGGCCTTGATCTGAAGTGACATTCCTAAGCCTGACTCCTGGCTGCCCAGGAAGCTGGAGGAGAACGTGTGTAGGGCAAACCTCATTCATGGTTACGACAAAATATAACTGAAGTATATCCACAATGATGCAAGTCTCATTTTACACATGGGTCAGGTTTTAGGATGAGGTGCTGGAAAGGAAAGAGGACGTAAAAGGGGCCAAATGGTCAGGGTCACATTTTGAAGCACCGCCCCACAGTGAATTGAAGTGTCTGTTTTTCCTTTTTTAGAATAGGACAAGGAAGGTGGAGGACATAGGGTCATCAGCACAACTTACTGTTATTTTTACAGACTCGACTCTTGGTTACACACAGCATTCACTTCCTTCCCCAAGTGGATGAGATTGTGGTTCTGGAGAATGGCACCATCTTGGAGAAGGGATCGTACAACTCTCTGCTGGCCAAGAAGGGATCATTTGCTAAGAACCTGAAGACATTCATGAAACAGGCGGGTCCTGAAGGAGAAGCCACAGGTATGTAAGGAGGATTGGAACGGGCTAGAAAGTGGGTATGGGAAGGGGTGGGAATGGCAAACTGATATCTACCTCCTGAACTACTCAGTATCCGGTGAGCAAGATTTGAAAGTGAATGACCCAGAGATCCAAAAGTGCTCTTTCTGTGTTTTGTGTCTCTGTGAAGAAACACAGACACAGAAACTCTCTATGACCGAGCCAAGCTGGAGGCTCATCCGCTCAGCTGGTCTCTGACATGCCATCAAAGGACACTCTGCAGGAGGGTATAACTGGACGTTTGGGGGGATTAACTCTAGTGGAAGAAACACCCCTTTTAGGGATGCCCTGCTTCTACTGATTTAAGTCAGATAGCCCACCCCACCTCCTACCCCAAATCCATTAAAACCACTTCCTGGACAGCTTTATAGTCTGGTATTAATGGTGTACTGCTAAATTCTTGATAAGTCCTAACAAAGGGATCTTGACTAAAATACCAAAAACCAGTGGGTGTTTTGAACCAGAAAAAGTCACGGCAGTTGCATAGTGTCACCGTACACCACAGGAATAGCCCCTAATACCACCACCGCTGGGGTCACTGATTAGCTCCGGTCAGCAATGGAGCCCTGTCCCCTGGGGCCCTTCCCAAGACCCTTCAGTAGTCCTGTGCATAGTTGTGGGTAGCAGCCACCAGCAGCAGGTCAGGATGAGAAAGCAGGATCTGGATGGTGCTGGGCCATTCCAGCATTCAGCCAGAAGAGGGAGTAGCTACAGAGCCTGCATGGGGATCATAGGCAGGCCTTGAGGTCAGGACATGTGATGGATTAAAGCTACCCTGGGAGCAAGCCCAGGAAGTCTGTAAGTATTGGAGGGACAGGGCAGGAAGGAAGAACAGGATGGTGTGGGTGACAGGGATCGGGAACCAGCCCAGGAGAGTGAGGTAGGGGCACCAGGAACCAGCAGAAAGGAAGGGGTCGGAGCTTTCCATCAGCCTGTCTGTGCTCCAGGGAAAACAAAAAGCACATCTGGGGAGTGGAGGCCCGAGCCAAGGGCAGTATCCAATGCTGATCCCTCTGTTACTGTCCAGTCAACCACATCGCCGTGACCTAGGCAGTTTTATTATGCTGATTCTAAATGTTTTATTGTTTTTGTTTTCTGATTTGCCTGAATCTGAGTTTCTGGATTCTGTTGTAAACCCCCATGGGTGGACGGCCCCTTTGAAGTAGCCTATCTTTTATGTCCAAAGGATAGTTTGCAAAATAGCTCATTAAACCCTTGTTCTGGTAAAAACTGGCGGGCCGTTTCTGAGCAGTTACATAAGCCCCAGAGCCTGGCATGCTGTTGTATTGGTTCTGGAACTCAAGGCACAGACCATGACATGGTAGAATGTGGGGAAGGGCAGGAGGGCAAGGTGAGTTGTATCAGTATTGGCTCTGTGTAGTAGCTTCCTAATTAGCTGCTGTAACAAAGTGCTACAAACTGGGTGGCTTAACCAAACAGAAATTTGTTGTCTCATGGTTCTGAAGTCCAAAATCGAGGTGCCAACAGGGTTAGTTTCTTCCATGAGCTCTGAGGGGAGTATCTGCTCCAGGTTTCTCTCCTAGCTTCTGGTGGTTTGCTGGCCATCTTTGGCGTTCTTTGGCTGGTAGCCACATCCCAGCCATCTCTGACTTCATCTTCATGTGGGGTTCTTCCTTGTGTGCATTTCTGTGTCCAAATTTTCCCTTTTCCATAAGAGTATCAAATATATTGAATCAGGGGCCCATCCTACTCCAGTCTGAACTCATCTTCACTAATTACATCTGTAATAACCCTATTTCCAAATAAAGTTACATTCTGAAGTAGTAGGGATTAGAATTTCAAAATATGAATTTTAGGGGGATACGATTCAATCTATTGGGTTATCGGAAAAGTCATGACACATTTTTGCAACAGATGGCACTAGTTCATTTTTTGGAAGTACTAGAGTCATTCACATCTATGTTATTGCTATGTCATTTGATAGCTGACAGCTCTAGCTTCATTCTAAAAAAAAATTGAGCCATTTGGTTGAGTTTTGGAGATTTTACAACAAGTTGAAGTTGGAAGACCAAACTGTGCATTTTCGCTATATTTTACTGTCTTACTTCCGTAAAGGGAAGAATGCGTGCGAAGCTTGTGAAAAGTTGCATAAAGTTTATGGTGACAATGCTCTACAAAAATATCAGGGCCAACGATGGTTCACGAAATTCCGTGCTGGTGATTTTGATCTCAGTGGAGCTCCTCGCTCGGCCAGGGAGGCCCACCGAGGTTGATGACAACAAAATAAAGGCATTGATCGAGTCAAACCCATGTTACATGACATGAGAGATTGCAGAAACATTGACCATTCAACGTTCAAGCATTCACGACCACCTGAAGAAGCTGGAATACATAAGCAAGCTCAATATTTGGGTTCCGCATGAACTGAAAGAAGTTCATTTGACAGCATGTATAAACATCTGCAATATGCTCATTAAACGTGAGGAAAACGATCCTTCTTTGAAGCGACTGATAGATAACTGGTGATGAGAAGTGGAATGTTTACAACAATGTGGTGCGCAAATGATCTTGGTCCCGACGTGATGATTCGCCTCAAATGACATTGAAAGCAGATATTCATCAGAGGAAGGTTATGCTCTCAGTGTGGTGGGATTTTAAAGGTGTCATGTTTTTCGAGCTCCTACCAAGGAACCAAACAATCAATTCAAATGTGTACTGTTGGCAATTGGACAGTTTGAACGAATCCATCATCCAGAAACGTCCAGAGCTCGTTAATCGTAAAGGAGTTGTGTTCCATCGCAACAATGTGAGACCACACACAAGTTTGATCAACCGTCAAAAATTATTGGAGCTTGGATGGAATGTGTTGCCGCACCCACCATACTCGCCTGACCTTGCGCCATCAGACTTACACTTGTTTCGCTCTCTTCAAAACTCCTTGCGTGGTATAACATCCAATTCAGATGAGGCTGTAAATCAGCACCTTGTTCAGTTTTTCGCAAATAAAGACAAGTCCTTCTATGAACGAGGAATTATGAAGCTCGCTGAAAGATGGCAAAAGGTATTGAACAAAATGGGCAATATATCATTGATTGATCTTTGTTCTTTATATAAATAAAAGACCTTTGAAAAACAGAAAAAATACCTCATGACTTTTCCGACAACCCTATATAACATCTAACATCTGGCACCCCAAAATTAATGGCCTGCTCATGTACAAAATATATATCCACCCCATCTTAACATCCCCAAAAGTCTTAATCATTTCAGTCCAATAATCTAAGTCCAAAAACTCATCTAAATGTCAACTCTAAGTCCCAAATTTCATCATTTACTTCACCCAAATCAGTTGTGGGTGAGACTTGGAATCTTAGGGCAAAATTTTTCTTCATCTGTGAAACAGTAAAATCAAACAAATTATCTGCTTCTAAAATACAGTGGAGAGACATCGCATTCCAAAAGGAAAAAATCACAATGACAAAAGGGGTCATGAATCCAAAGTCCAAAACCTGGGGGGTGGGTGGGGAGGCGGGGCAAATTCCATTAGATTTTAAGGTTTGATAATAATTCTCTTTGGTTTGATGCTCTGTTATCTGGGATTACCAGGGTGGTGGTCCCATCCCGCTCAGCCTTGGGTGATGGCCCCAACCTCTGGAACTGGGTAGCAGCCAACCCCTGAATTGTCTTCAGGGCCATTTTGCTTTTTTCTTGAAGTATAACACATGTTCGTGTCTGGGTAGCTCTATTTACCAATTTTCTGCCTATAGAATCTCAGAATTCTGACGGTGTTCCTTCGTTTTGTCTCTGTCCCCTACAGTCCAAGCAGCAGCATTTTGCTAAGATGGTTGACTGGATCAAGTCACATGCCTAATCTCTTTAGCTAATCTGCTGTTGAGCCTTGCTAGTGAATTTTTCATCTTAGTTATTGTACTGTTCAACTCTGGAATTCTATTTTCATCTTTTTAAATAATTTATATTTTATCAACATTCTCTATTCAGTGAGAACTCATTCTCATACTTTCCAGTATATTTTTAGACAGTCTTTCCTTTTGTTCGTTGAACATATTGAGAATAGCTGATTTGAAGTCTTTGTTCGGTAAGACCAATGTCTGTGCTTTCTGTTGACTGCTTTTTTCCTGTGTATGGTCCCATAATTTCCTGTTTCTTTGTATGTCTCATAACTTTTTGTTGAAAACTGGTCGTTTTAAATAACATAAGCACTCTGGAAATAAGATTTCTCTCCCCTGCCTCCTCTGCCAGGGTTTGTTGTTGTTGTTGTTCCTCCTGTTTAGTTTCCTGAAATAATTCTGTTAAGCCTGTATTCCTTGTCACATGTGGTCACTGAAGTCTCTGCTTGGTTGGCTTAGTGGTCAGCTAATGGTTGGACACAATTTCCTTCAGTGCTTCGAACCAATAAGTTAGTCAGCCTTTGCTGAGAGTCTCTGTGTGTGTAAGGGGAGTGGGCATGTCTTTAACACTCCAGCATGCAGCTTACAATTCTTCCTGAGCCTTTGTTTCCTGCTTGCACAGAGCCTGAAGGGTTAGCCAGAGGTGAGAGAATGGGGCATGTACACAGCCTTACACATGTGTATGAGATTCTAGATTGCCAGGAATATATTGACATTGAGATCGAAGATATCAAAGATCCTTGTGGATATCTTATTCCCCAGTTTTTCCTTTTAAGTTACTGGTCATCTTTTTTATTTGCCCCAACTGTTATCACTCCCTCAGGCAGCTGTGATGTTAAACAATTGCTGCTGATTGAGCTAGCTCCCAATCAGGTCCAATAAAGACGCACCTTGTGAATGGGGTTTTCCAGGGAACTGCCAGATAGGTCAAATAATGAAAATTCTCCGGGGATGAGACTTTGGGGGGCGTTCCAAATCCAGTCTGTTCCCTCCAGCAGCTGCCAGGCTGCTGGGTTTCATGGTTACCATGATTGTGAGGCTGCTGGTTTTCTAGGCTACAGCAGATCTGAGAAGAGGAGAATGGGAGGAATAATTAAACTATCACAAAGCTTACTGTTCTTAGTGAGATTTAGCCATTTTTCTTAAATAAATGCTCTTTGGATTGTTGCAAGCCTTTGGTTAATTTCAGAGTTATGAAAAAGTTGCTTTTGACAATTTTTTTTGGCCAGTATTCTCATGACTTTTATGGAGAGACCAATTGGCAGAGGTCCTTACTCTACCATTCCCACTGATTCCCAGGCTGTGTTTACATTTGATTTTATTTATTATATTTTCAGGGCACGTTTTTTAAATGTTTGCTGGCTTTCTTTCTTTCTTTCTTTCTTTCTTTCTTTCTTTCTTTCTTTCTTTCTTTCTTTCTTTCTTTCTTTCTTTCTTTCTTTTTAAAGTCTTATCTTTTTTTTTTCTTTTAATTGGGGAACAGGGTGTTTTTCCAGGACTCATCAACTCCAAGTCAAGTAGTTGTTTCAATCTAGTTGTGGAGGGTGCAGCTCAGTGGCCCGTGTGGGGACTGAACTGGCAACCATTGGTGTCGTGAGCACTGTGCTCTAACCAACTGAGCTAACCAGTCGCCCTTTAAATGCTTTAAATTCATAAAAGTGTGTCAAATTATTTGAATTTCAAGAAAGAACATGTTTAATTCACACTCACCTCTTTACTCAATCCTGGGAATTGTGACTCTACTATAACCCTTAAAAGTTTTTTCCTGCTCCAAAGGAATTTAGAAGCTTCTGGGAATATTTTTCTCTTTTTCGACCATTTTCTCTTCCAGTGGAATATTATCTCATTTCTCCTTTATCCTGTTATTTTTCAATGAGAAAAATGTACCCATAAGTAGAATTTCTGGAGTAAAACATTCCAGGCTGTGTGTATGTCTGGGATCTCTGGCTGAGGCCAGCAAGATCCAAAAAAGCTTCTCTCTCCTGGTTCATAGGGCTCTAGGCAGCTATCTCCCTAACCTTTGATGTGTCTCCTAGTCAATGAAGACAGTGAAGAAGAAGGTGACTATGGGCTCATGCCCAGTGTGGAGGAAACCCCTGAGGATGTGGCCTCCTTGACCATGGAAAGAGAGAACAGCGTTCGTCGAACCCTTAGCCACAGGTTCGTCATTTATTCAGCTAGCAGCCCTCATCATGTCCATATTTCCACTTGATCATTCTCTTTTTCTATGTGGGCTTTTCCAGAGGTAGCAGACACCATGAACACTCCTAGCTCTTCCTTTGTTTCCTTATATGAGGAGGAGTGTTGCAGTGGTGTGTTTCCCCTACGGCCATCTGCTCTGAAATGCACTCTGAGGCAAGCAGAGCGACTGTGACATCTGCTTGCCAGAAGACCCTCGGGATGCAACTACATGCTCAGGAAAGCTTTTCCCCTCTCAATCTCTCAGATCTAGGTCTAGTAGCAGGCATCTGAAGTCCCTAAAAAACTCCTTGAAAATTCAGAATGTGAATACCCTGAAGGAGAAAGAAGAACTAGTGAAAGGACAAAAACTAATTAAGAAGGAACTCATACAAACTGGAAAGGTGAATACCACAATACAAAGTACCATTAGAGACGATATGAGGCTTGGGATCCCAACATTTTAAAGCTTGATGACTTGAACGCATATCTACGGGAGGGCTATGTCTTATGCTTGCTTTGCCAATCTTTAAATTCATCATTGAAATTTTGATAGAAGCTCTGGGATTTCTATTAAATCATATTTCCATGAAGAATGACATGTTTCCTGTGAATATCCTCATAGCACACTTCATGAGTGTTTGATTCCCTTCTGATATATGGAACAAACAACAAAACTGCTTTGAGATGCAGTTCTGGGAGCCAGAAAACACTGATATATCAATCTCAGAGTATGCAATTCAAATTAATGAAACTTAAAACGAAGGTCTTAAATTTAAGGCCTAAATTTAAATCTAAATTAATAAAACAAATTCCAAGGTCAGCAGTATAACCCCATCTGTCCCACTCCATTTTTCTATCTTCTTAATTACGCCCAGAAGCTCATTAATAACCTGATGATTATTTACTTTGCATTGTATTTCAGCATTGATTATTATCCTGAATCAATGCAGATATGATAACCATAGACTGCCAAATTTTGCTACCTGGGATCCAGTTTTCCAGGGAACTTCATTCCCTCTTGTGATTGGTATGCTAGGTAATTCCTCACCAAAAACCATTAGGAATTTTACTAACATTGAGGTGGGGGCTTTGCAGGTGAAGTTCTCCATCTACATGAAATACCTACAAGCAGTAGGATGGTATTCAATTTTCTTCATCGTCTTAGCCTATGTCATCAATTCTGTGGCTTTGATTGGATCCAACCTCTGGCTCAGTGCTTGGACCAATGACTCTAAAACCTTCAATAGCACCACCTATCCAGCCTCTCAGAGGGACATGAGAGTGGGCGTCTATGGAGCTCTGGGAGTAGCGCAAGGTACGTCTGATGGCTACGACAGCCATTTCTTATAGCATCTGTCTGGTCCCTGTGCTTTCCTGGGACTCAGGGAAGAAATTGCCATTATGTCCTTGGCACAAGTCTTCAGGGGATCCCTGTGCATGGTGCTGACTAAGCTGGTTCCATTTTTAGGTATATTTGTGCTCATAGCAAATCTCTGGAGTGCCCATGGTTTCACCCATGCAGCAAACATCCTTCACAAGCAACTGCTGAACAATATCCTTCGAGCACCCATGAGTTTTTTTGACACAACACCCATAGGCCGGATTGTGAACAGGTTTGCTGGCGTAAGTATCTCAAGGGCTATAAGTCGTTGTGTTTATATGCCGACAGGGGAAGAATTCAAATTTCCAGTTCTTTTGTTCATTCAGCATGCAAATGTTTCCTGAGTCCCTTGTGTGAGGTCTCAAGGATCCTGGGGATACAGGGATGAACAGTTGTGGCCCTTTAAGTAGCTCATCATCTAGTGAGTGAGACACCAAGGAAATAAAGGATTGTAATAGAATACAGTGAAACCAAAATAACAATGATGTGCACAGTGGTGTTCAGGGAGTACAAAAGAGTGACAGAGAAAAGAGGTACTATCTCAGCCTGGGTGACGGAGGGTGGGAAATGTCAGAAAAGGTGACGCGAGTTAAGTTATAGAAGTTAGTCCGGGAGATGGTGGGGGTGGGGGGTGGGAGTGTGGCAGTAGAAGCAGGATGAGAAGAATGACAAACACAAGTACCAGGACTATCACTGGCTGTGACATGAAGAAAAGGGATAGCAGGGTAACCCTTTGCTTGGTCTCTGCCTCCATTCCTAAAACCTCCATCTTTGATGCTTTAAGAATAAGTAAATTAGGTCTGGATTATAGAAGAGAGGCACCTGTAATTTTAGTGAGGTTCTAAAACATGCTATCCATCTACTGCAAATCCTGGAGCCCTTAGCAGTCATTCACTCATTCAGTCAGTCAGTGACATGTATTAGCACCTCCTATGAGCCAAGAACTGTACTAGCCATTGGGATGCTCAATAAATGTTAAGATTATAGATGGCTCTCTTCCATGGGCCATACTGAACTCATTGATTCTTAATGCATATGAGATGGAAATTTCAGGAACAGAGGCAGAACCCAGGCAATTCTGAGTAATATTCAACTATTATCAGCACAGTTTCCAGTCCTCTGTAGAAGAGGGAATACATATTTTAAAATGGCAGAGCAGCTCTGGGCCCTTATTTGTTTGGTCCTGGAGCGGACACGGAAAGGCTAGCTCACAGTTCACAGCCAGGTCCTGGAGACATAGTGACTGCTTCTATAGTGGCAGATGACTGGGCCCCACTTATTAACTTCCTCTGGGACAAAACTAGTGGGCATGATGTTATTACACCAACTTCAGTAGGCTCTCTTCTCTTTATTTATTTATTTCCTTTAAAAAAAATTTTTTTTTTAGCTGAGCCATCCTGCCACCTCTTGACAGCTCAGCGGCAGCTCAGCTCGGGCCGGGAATTGAACCGGTGACACTGTTGCTCAGAGCTCACACTCTTGAGCGAGCTCTTAACCAACTGAGCCGCTCGGCCGGCCCTCTGCTCTTTAATAGAACCTAAAAAAAGCACACATTTTGGATGGGGAGATTTCTCACAGGAATTTTGCAAAGACCGCAACTCTTCTTTGATATTGTAATATAGAATTCATCTTCTAAAAAAGAGAACACAGAAATCTTTCTCTGAGTTACTTAGGCAGCAGTCATATTGTGCTAACCTCTTTCTCATGAAAAAGGAAACTGTCATGAATTATATAGTGAGTTTTGTGGGGGAGGTGGCTCAGACCCATAAAGGAGAGTTTGATCTAGCGCCCTCCAGAACTGATGGCTGAGCCCTTAAGAGGAGATGAAAGAGCAGGTGGAAGACAGAAAGATGGAGAGTCTGTGCCAGGTAAGGGTCAAAAGTAATATACATTGAACTGATAACTGGTGAGGATTTCTTTTATCTTCCAATCCCGGAAATATTATTTGACTCCACTCTTCAGGGCTCTCTTGGGAAACTGTTATCCCTTACCTAGTTTGGAACATTCCAGAGATACTCACATATTCCTAGTCCTAGAATCAACATAGTCTAGGGAATATAGGCAAGGGAAACCCAAAATATAAGCCAGGCTTCCTGTGTATACTAAAGCATCCATCCATCCATCCATGCCATCCATCCATCCATTTGCTTAGGTATTCATTTGTTCAACATGGCATGAAGGCAATATGGTAGTCAGACCCATCCATCATCTCTGGGTTCCTTGGTTAGAACACTAGCCAGGCAGAGATTACATTTAATCTTGAAGCTCTGTGCTTGGCAGAAGAAACAATCTCCTAGGTAGAGAATGGTTTTTCAGTCAAAGGTGGGCAACAGGGCTTCTTGACTGGAGATTCTAAACAAAAGTTTATTGCATGTGTTATATGCCAGGCTCTGTTCTAGGCTCTCAATGGAATTAGGACCTGTGTAAAGTTAGAATAATAGAATTGGCTTGGCTGTGGGAGGATTTACCTTGTAAGGCTCTATTAGCTTACAGTGGTTATGAATGGTTTAATAAACTTGACAAATGGGAATTTCACTGAAAAGAGTAAAAACCTTTGCCAAGTCTATTAAAATAAAGGTGAAGGATCACTGCCGTATCTGTTTAGAGGGATTTAGAAAGATGAAGAAATTACAGAGACGAGATTGGTTTGGGGATGAAAAGAACAGTCTATTGCAAATAACTATCATGAAATGATTAAATGAAGGCGTCGCTGAGAACCCAGAATTGAACAAATTTCCTGCTGGAATCAGGAAAAAGTGAAATGTCACAGGCATTCCTTAGTACGTCATCTCTTGTAATTATGTGTTCCTAGGATATTTCCACAGTGGATGACACCCTCCCCATGTCCTTGCGCAGCTGGATTTTGTGCTTCCTGGGGATTCTCAGCACCCTTATCATGATCTGCACCGCCACTCCGGTCTTCATCATCATCGTCATTCCTCTGGGCATCATTTATGTGGCTGTTCAGGTAGGTTTGGAAATGGCTGGGTCTCCTTTATTCTCAGCTCACTGAAGCCCGGGCTCCTTCCTGAGAACCTTCTTTTCTGTTTATTACTAGTCACTTGTTCCGCTCCAGCATCTTTGTCATTTAGTCACATAGTGATACACCGAGGCGCCCTTAGGCCACTATCTGAAGCTGAAGTGTTAGCACCCATTGGTGTATGGTTCACAGAAAAGCTCACCTTAACAGCTGCCCCCCACCCTAGAAGCTTAAGTGGGGGCATATTTGTATTTAGATCCAAGACTGCTTTGAGGTTGGCTCTGGACAAAATCTTGAAGCTCTGTGAGCCCCCTCGCCGATGGTTAGATCATTGGTTCCTTCTCGAAGAGCCATGCTCTCTGGCTGCTTCCGTGGTTGGTTTAGGCTTATCTACTTGCAGATGTCTCTCAGCAGGAGCTAGATCTCTTTTCACTGCAGGGAAGTTCTAGTTCCACTGGGGTGTCTTTGGGTGGCTTAGGCTCAATTCTAATGTGATCTTGAGGGTGAACAGGTCGTTTGAGAACCAAGCCTCGCAGAAAAACTGGAACAAGTGGAAAGGACTCCATGCCCATATTAAAAACTGATGAGGGAAGGGGAGCTGTGGAGAGAACTCGTGTTCCACCAGTTAGTTACCTTTGGGATGAAGTGTTCACCTCAGGAAAACAATGCTGACCTTGCAGTCAAAAGCAGCCTGTGGCCTGTGGAAAGGGAAC